CGGGCGTGTGTGCGTGCATGTCCAAGATCCCCAGAGGAGAATGGAGGAGAAGGGATTGCGGCGTGGCCATCCCCCCTGGGGGGGGATTTCTCGCTTTCTGTCTCTCTGTCTCTCTCGTCTGTCTGGCGAGCACACGCACCCTATAGCCAAAACCTCTAAAAAAAAAAAAAAAAAGAGAGAGAGAGACTGGTTATCAGATCTCTTGGTGATTCCCCAGACTTTTAAGTCCAGCCTGGCTTCTCTGTTGGGCTGCAAACTAGTGTGTTTGTTTGTTTGTTTTAGAATTATTTTATTGGGATCAGCAGATGGTGTAATGGTTATGTCCCACGTAATTGATTGACCATGGTTCAAGTCTTGGATCTGGTGGCTTAAAAATGCACGCCAGGTGCGTGTGCCTGTATGGCCAAAATCCCAAGAGGAGAATGAAGGATATCAGATCGCAGCGTGGCCATCCCCCCCTGGGTGGGGGAGGCCGGTGATTTCTTGCTTTCTGTCTCTCTGTCTCTGTCTCTCCAGTGAGCACATGCACCCTATAGCAAAAACCTCTCCAAAAAAGAAAAGAAAAAATTATTTTCTTTAACTTCATTTATTATTATTATTTAATTATTCAGTTTTATTTATTCATTTAATTTGACCAGAGAGAGAGAGAGGGAAAGTGGGAAAGCAAGCCACCCGGGACTCGAACTGTGGTCGGCCATGTGGGAATGTCCAGTGTCTTAACCACTATGCCACCTGCTGGTTCCAATTTATTATTTTTTTAAATTTGAGCAGAGAAAGAGAGGGAAAGTGAGAAATCAAGCTACCAGGTCTGGGACTTGAACTGTGGTCAACCATGTGGGAGTCCAGTGCCTTTAACCACCACTCTATTTGCCAGCCTCTGCAAACTAGTGTCTTTAAGTTCTTGACTGAACAGTTCTACATACAAACCTCCAAACGTGGTCATGACTCAACTTGTCTGCTGCCATTTTATTTTTTCAATCTCAGACTTTGTTTCCCACCATGGCTCGTGTCACTGTCTTCACCTAAACTAGAAACCTAGGAGACTCAGATTCGTCCTTCACCTCCTATATCAGGATTTCTCAATCTGTCAGTATTTGTATTTTGGGGCTAGATAATTCTTTGTTTGTGGAATGACCCTCTGCTTTGTAGGTGTTTAGCAACATCCTCGACTGTAGCCACTAGCTGCCAATAGCAGTCTCGTTTAGTCATGACAATGAAAAATGCCTCCAGACATTGTGAAATGCTCCCTGATAGACAGATCACACCATTTTGAGAACCACTGCCCTCTATATCCAATCTGCTACTTAATTTTGTTGATACTAGTTCTTAAATTTTCCTTTAAACTCTTCTCATATCTTCATTCTACTCCCTACTTTCCATCCTCTTTATTCATTTTTCTTTTTTAGATAGAATCTTACTGTATTGTGATCCTCCTGCCTCAGCCTCTCAGCTGGGACTACATGCAGATGCCACTACAGCCTTAAAGTTAGACTGGGAATGGAAGCTGGGCCTCCCATGTGGCCTCAACCAATGGAACAAAGCATTTTGGCAGCATGTGCCACCAAGTCTGGGCCTCTATTTTTTTAAATTAAAAATTTAAAAATACATATCATTTTTTTTAAATCCATGATGGAGTATGTGTACATGCACAAGAGAATAAATGTGTGTGTGTGTGTGTGTGTGTGAGAGAGAGAGAGAGAGAGAGAGAGAGAAAGAGAGAAAGAGAGAGAGAGAGAGAAGTGAGCACCCTCCACAGAGCCTGGTCACACCGTAAGAGTCTTCCTCCAATCCTCTACCAGCCTGCTTGTTGGATCATGGGCACTCATGCACAGGCTTGGTGTGTTTCAGACTGACCAGGCCAGGGATTTGAACCACAGTCACTAAGTAGAGCCTGGCTTTTGTTGAGCAGTGCATTACTGCTGTACCCACAGAATTAGCCACCTCTTTATTTTTTAATACTTGGGACTCTTTAGGAAGGTTCTGATTAGTCTCCCTGTGTCTGATATTTTTCCTCCCCCCCCCCCCCATTTCTTGGGGTCGCCTTTAACTCATGTCTCTCCCCCCCCCCCCCCCGTTCTGTGCTGCCACATTAATTTTTTTAAATACAAAGCAGTTTTCTGTTTATAATCTTAGTAGTTTCCAGTGGAGACCCTCATGAATTGACTTCCCTCTTTCTTTACTCCAGACACATTTTTCAAAGGCACTCATACTTAAGTTTCTTGCTAAACGTAACTGTACTGGGCCCTCTTCCCAGAGTGTGCTAATGTTTCAGCTCTGTTTAGGAATCAATGTCTCCACGATAGCCTCCTCACTTATTTTCAGAGAACCTATGACAGCAAAGAGCATTTTATTTTTAACATATCCATCTTTTCTCACTAAATGAAACTTTTCAAGGACAGGGACCATCTCTATCCCAATTCTTGGCATGTAATAGATATTCAAAATAAAAGTTTGAATTGTTTATCAGTTTGTCCAGGCAGATATAGTAACATCTTCATTAGTTGTAGGAATCTTTTGCCCTGTATAAATACTGAAAATTGTCTTTCCTGGTCTTTATCATTCAGACTTTGATGGGTAGTCTTATGACCACAGAAATCTAGAACTATAACTTTCTTTAAGAAACCACCTAACTAGAAGGTAATTAACAAAAACTGAACTTAGTTGACATTCAAATGTCATTTGCTTATAAAATATCTAATTTACTGTAAAGATTTTTATTCTGAAAGGAATTAAATTGTGTGGGTTAATTCAATTGCATGAATTAATATGATGTGGAAAGTCTTTGCTAGGCTCAACATTACATTTCCATTAAGTCAGGATTTGTTGATTACAGTCTATAAAGCCTGCATAAGTAATATCATTATCTTAATAACTAATTCAGTGTTTTAGAAAATATGTTTACTAGAACACATTCTTATACTCACTGGCCCACACTATTTAGATATTAATCACCATCATAAAATAAAAACAAAAAAAATTAGCAAGTCATTAAAGAATATTGCCCTATCGCCCTTTCTTATATGCTTCAGTGCAGTTGTGTGTGAATGATTAGATTTCCTTGTTAATTGGAGCCAGTCAGGCAATCTGACCAACTAAACTTTGACCTAGAACTTTAATTACAAAGTAAAAAAAAAAAAAAGAAAAAAGAAAAAAAGATTTGTAGGGCTTTTGTAAGATAATCCATACTATAGCCAGCCTCACTGAAAGTCAAGGATTGAGGATTGGAAAAGAGAATGACTAGGTCCTACTCCCAGTTCAGAATTCTTCATCCTGGTACAGTGCCAGCTTGTTAATGACCATTGTTAAATGAATCCATATATAATGGCAGTAATGTAAGCAGCGATGACTTTCTGCTTCACTTTTTAAGGAGTGGCAGAAAATGTATCAGTTCCTTTCAAAAGATACTCTTTAATAAATGTTAATTGGAGGTTTCCAGAAATAAAACTAGACAATCAGGTTACTTACAGGGAAAGCACCTCGTTTTCACACCAACTCTCAAGGACTGAAGTGGATCCAGGAAACGTGTGAAACCACCCTGTTATTCACCCCAAGAATATTTTGCCAAGGACCCATTTGCCTTGTTTGTTTTTCTGATTTCTCCCTTTCCATATTTTCCTTTATTTTCTTTAGAATTAAAAAAATTTTAAATTCTTTAAAATTTATTTTTAGATTTATTTAACCTTAAACATTAACTACTACCAATGAAGGTTCTTTTTACATTCTCTAGCTGCTTTAGAGAAGTATTATGCAGTGAAATGAAAGAGATGAACTTTATTTGGGCTTAAAAAAAAAGGAAGCCTGATAAATGCTGTTTCCAGAGTTTTTATCAGAACTTGGAAGATTTTGCTAAATAAGACTTCTGTAGTATACAGACAGATCATCTCATGCTTCTTTTTCATAGTGTAAAAAGTTTAATAATCAGAGTTTGAATATATTTTTGATTCACTTTGGTTCTTAAATTATAATTTTTAGACTCTCTTATTATGTATCTTTAAGACCCTACTTGAAATGAGTAAAAAATATGTGTGATTTTGAGCAGCTTTGTTTTCCATATATTTTTAGTATAGTAGAAATTATATTGAACGTAAACTTTGCCTGTAAGTTACGTACCTATTACCAGAATATGTAGTTTGAAGTGGATAGAAACTGTTAATCTCATGAGAGCCAAATGTAAGATACTTCTGTTTGAACAGAGTACAATCAGTTCTCATTATTGCAATAGTTATGTTGTGTGGAGGTGCCAGAACACTGAATTAGCGGATCCTGAACCGTTGCTCCAAGAGAAAATACAGCGTTGTGTTCCTACAGTGCTCTGATTACAATATTTTCATCAACCAGTTAGTATATAACCTTCTTTAGTGTGTGTTTCTGTTTAAAGACACTTTACTTAATATATATCACTGATGCATCAGTATCAATATCAGTGCCAGCAGCACTGTTATCATGCCTGAATGAAGCCTTCGTGGTGCACTTAACTTTCTCCAGAAGGAGCATTACAGACTTCTTGGACCTAGGAACAGACAGCACGTATGAACGCTGTGCCCCCAGGCCATTGTAAACAGGAAAAGCATCAACAGCGCAGAAATGTGAAAAGCAGCACTAAACGGACTCCAGAAAGGTCAATTAGGCATACAGTATGAGTGCTGTAACAAGGCAGGGTCCTGTGCAGTTTCACGTGGAGACATTTTCCACAGCGCTGTGCATGTCTGTGAAAGGCTCCCCTGAGAGACTATTTCAAGTACTGATTTTGGGGCTGCAAATAGATTTCAGTGAGTAGGCGAATTCACATATATAGAATCTGCAAGTAATGAGGATCAACTATAATTGTTTTAAAGAAGCTTATTATTGACAACTTGGCATATTCATATTTGAAAAATTTATTTTTGGATGTGCGAGAGTTGTGGGTTAAGCAAGAGTTGTCTTTATAGTTTTTATGTTCTCTTGTCCAGTGAGATAAAAGAGGCAGCTTTCAGTCTGTCACTTTCTCTTCTGCCCTGCAGGGAACAACCTATCTTCAGCACTCGAGCTCATGTCTTCCAGATTGACCCAAACACAAAGAAGAACTGGGTACCCACCAGCAAGCATGCAGTTACTGTGTCTTATTTCTATGACAGCACAAGAAATGTGTATAGGATAATCAGTTTAGATGGCTCAAAGGTAAGTTATGTTTGCTTCAAATAACCCTGTTGTTTTGCTTCATACAGTAAAGTATTTCAGTTTTATCTGAAGGGTTTTATTATAATTAAAATAAATTATTTTTGTTTGACTTTGAAACTTTTAAGGACAAAATTGATCATTCTTAGGGTAGTAAATTACTTGGATTGACCATCTTAGGTTGAGTGACAGGGCAAAATATTCTTCACGTGGGAGGTCATTCATTGTACTTAATAAATATTCATTGTGTGTCTCTTTTATGTCAGGCACTATGGTAGGTACTAGGAAGAACATAGTGATAAACATAATGGACATGGTCTAGAATTCTAGGAGCTCGAATTCTTTTCACATGTACTTCTATAGACTAGTAGCTGTTCAGAGTCCCTGAATCATAGGAAGTCTGTCAGTGTCAGTTAAAGCTTGTCTAAAGAGAAGTATAAGTACCTAAAATTTATTTTTAGAGAGGCATATAGTATAATGTTCAAGGACTGCTTGGGTTCAAATCTCTGCTCACCATTTACCAAGTGTTTTGACTCTGTGCATGTTGAACATTGCTTCTCTGAATTTCGTTCTCATTTTATTTATTTTATTTTATTTTATTTTTTAGAGGTTTTTGCTACAGGGTGTGTGCGCTTGCCAGAGACAGACAGAGAGACAGAAAGCAAGAAATCACCCCCCAGGAGGATGGCCATGCCGCAATCCCTTCTCCATTCTCCTCTCGGGATCCTGGGCATGCACACACACGCGCCCAGCGTGAGTTTTAAGCCACCTGGTCTGGGACGGGAACTGCGGTCGACTACATGGGAATCCAGCTACATAGCCATTACGCTAACTGCTGGCCCCTTACTTTTTTTTTTTTTAAGTTTTATTTTTTCCATGAGCAAGTGAGCAAGCAAGAGAGAGAGAGATAGCATACCTCCAGTAGGGTCTTGATGCCACATCCAGCTTCAGCTGGCTCCAGACTCAGGGTCTCTGGGTGTGAACTGGGGACATTCCCATGTGCATCAGCCTCTTGCCAAGTGACGTTTTGCTCCTCTGCCACTGTCTGTTCCCTAGTATTTGTAGTAGTAGTTTGTTTTTTAAAAGAGAATTATTTATTCACTATTATCATTCTTTTTCAGTTTGACAAGAGAGACAGAAAAAGAGAGAGAAGGAGAAAGCAAGCCACCAGGTCCAGGGCTTGATCTATAGACTGTCTGGTGGGAGTCCAGGGCCCCAACCACCATGCCACCTGCTGGCCTCAGTATTTATAGTTTTCAGGATTAAATGAGTTAATATCTGCAAAACACTCATCAGTGAATTTGTATATCTCAGATTTTAAGATTCCAAACATTAGATTCTAGATAAAAAGTGTATAAAAAGATAAGGTTCCCATTTTTCTCCTCTTAAGTTTTCTTGAAGCCATGAGGTCTTTGTACGCCTGTAAAGTTTAGAAATTCACAGTAGAAGTTAAGATCATAGATTCTAGAGCCAGACTGTGTGGTGTGGACTTATATTCCACTGATTGCTAGCATAAGATAGTTGACTTCTGCACGCCTCAGTTTTCTCATCTGTGAAAAGGAATTATTAAAACAAACCTTTATTATTATACCACTGGATTGTTATGAAGGTGTGTATAGTAATCACAGTACAAATACTTGCTGGTAATATTGTTATTGATGTAATTAATAGCTGTTAATTATATATTGCCTAATGTTTTCTGAGAACAAAAAGAAACATGGGAATAGCAGTTAGCGTAGTGACTATGTCACTGGACTTCCATGTAGTCGACCGCAGTTCCAGTCTTGGACCCCGTGGCTTAAACTCACGCCAGGCACAGGTGCGTGCCTGCCCAAGGTCCTGAGAAGAGAATGGAGGAAAAGGGATTGCAGCCTGGCCATACGCCCTGGGGGGTGATTTCTCGTGTTCTGTCTCTCTGGCCAGTGCAGGCGCCCTATAGCAAAAACCTCTCCAAAAACAAAAGGAAACTTAATTTACTGCTTTATTTTCATTCTTTTTTTTTTTCCCCTGTGTGCTCATTCCTTATCTTCTTAACTTGATTTTAGGACCCTACAGGCTATTTGTACTTTATGTTTTGTACATAAGGGACTGATATATTGACTTGAATAATAAATCCTCTTTTTGTTTTTACTTGGAGGACTTAAATGACTTGAGAGAGAACAATTTCAGTGACAGTTTATTGAAGAATAATTATGTCATATTTTATAACTGTTTAGTAAAATTTGACAGATGCTGAGTATTGTAATCTCAAACACTCAGGTGTTAATTTTTTATTTTTCCCTGACATAAACCTTCAATTTTCTGTCTCTTAGCCTAAACCGTAGATAAAAATCTAACTTTGTTAGATAGTAGGCTTTAAATGACATTTAAAAGTAAAGGTCAAGTGGAGTAGTCCCATGTCTAAGAAAAGAAACAGCATGGGAATGATTAAATATATTTCATTTGTTAACTTAATCATTAGCAGATTAAAATACTTTTGATTATTTTCAAGGAAGGAATTTTCATGATTAAATACTCACATGTTCTTCCCTCTGAAGCAGTATGAACTATGACTTCTGGGATTCCCATTTTTGAATATACTTTGCTAAGTGTAGTTAGAATCTTAACTCGTGAGGAAAAGTTTTTGTTCATTTTAACAGAATCTATCTTCTGTAGCAGGATTATATTTTTTATTGCAATTTTCATTTTTCTAGGTTTTTTGTTTGTTTGTTTTTAAAGAGAGATGTTTGCTATAGAGCTTGTGTGCTCACCGGAGAACAGAGAAAGACAGAGAAACAGAAAGTGAAAAATCACCCCTGTGGGGGGATGGCTATGCCATAATCCCTTCTCCTCATTCTCCTCTTGGGATTTTGGGCACGCATACACAGGTGCCCTGTTTTGAGTTTTAAGCCGCCGAGTCCAAGATTTGAACCATGGTTGACCATGTGGGTGGGAGTCCAGTGATGTAACCATTACACCATCTGCTGGCCCCTCTAGGTTTTATGTATTTATTGATTTTTAGTTTTTGTTTTGTTTTGTTTTGTTTTTCCATGTGGGATGTCTGCTTGCTAGGGGGAGAAAGAGAGAGAGAGGGAAAGTGAGAAATCACCTCTTTGGGTTCGGGGTGGTGGCCATGCCATAGTTCCTTCTCTGATCTCTTAGAATTTTGGGCAGTCTAGCCTGTTTTTCAGGACTCTGAATCTGGGACTCACATTGTGGAGTTAGCCACGTGATGATCCAGTGCCTTAACCCACCTGCTGGCCCTCTATTTACTTTTCTAAACAGATGCTGTTAACTGCTGCAGTTCCTATAGGTATAGTTACTTGGTTAAGCAAGTAGTGGTGTATTTGACTTGGTTAACTGAGTATTTTTCTCCTTCTTACCCTTCTCTCCATTTCTGCACTTCATGATTGAGTAGAAAGCCCTAAGGTTCCCCTGACTAAATAGGTTCATTTGTCTTCACTAGTGCTTCTGTTGTGCACGTAGAGTTTGCTGTACGGGTTCTGATGGTGCTGCAGAGACATCAGCATGGCCGAGGGCCAGGATCAGGGCTCTACGTGATCTGTAATGACACAGCACTTCTACTCCTTGTTCTTGAAAGGATAAGAACTCTGGGGCTGAGAGTGATATTTGTTTAATGGAGTCATAGTTGTTTTCTATTTCAAGCATCTAAGAAATAAAAAATAAGTATAGATTATCTATATTTTTTTAAATATGTGTATTTATTATTATTTTAATTTGTTAGAGGTCATATGTACTTACCAGAGGTAGAGGGAAAGTGAGAAGGCAAGCCCTCAGGTCCGGGATTTGAACTGCAGTCAGCTGTGTGGGAGTTCAGTGCCTAACTACCCGCTGGCCCTAGGTTATTTGTTTTAATTTTACTTTAGTAATTAAAGAACTAGTAATACAGAAGCAAGGAAAGGTTCAGAACGGAGATTAAAGTAGAACTCTTATTTCATTTGAAATACTTACAATGAGCATTAGAGACCAACACATGGAGGTTAAGGTAGCTGGATCCCACATGGCTCACAATGCGGTTCAAGTCCTGGACCTAGCAGTTTAAAAACACTCTGGACAGGGTGCCAGCAGGTGGTGTAGTGGTTAGGGCACTGGACTACCACAGGGCCCACCACAATTTGAGTGTTGGACCTGGCAGCTTGAAACTTACACTGGATGTGTGTGTGTGTGTGTATCCAAAATCCCAGGAGGAGAACGGAGAAGGGATTGTGGCGTGGCCATCCTCCCCTACCCCCAGGGATTTGATTTCTTACTTTTCCTCTGTCTGGCCAGTATATGCACCCTCTGGCAAAACAAACAAAACTCAGATGTGTGTGCATGTGGGCCCAAAATTCCAAGAGGACAATGGAGGATAAGGGACAGTAGCATGGCCATACCTCCTGGGGGATGATTTCTTACTTTCCCTTGCTCCATATTGCTCTGTTTCTCTGGCAAGCACATGTGCCCTATAACAACAACCTTAAAAAGAATAAAAACAAGACTCGATAACCAACAGCACAGTGGTCAGTTTCTTAGATGTCGAGAAGACCTCTTACTACCCTACTTTTTAAGATTTATTAGGGTCACATGTAAAATGCCCTTATCTCCATGAAACGTGCAGATCCCTAGATCCCAGCTCAGATGTGCCAGAAGCACTAAAGGACCAGCAAGTCTAAAGCAGTGCCTGCTGATCTTCCCTTCTTGTCTTTTACTCTGTCACATCCTGGTTTTATGATCTTCACAGCATTTTCCGCTCTTTAAAACTACTTTGGCTAGCTGTCTATTTACGCGTATATTGACTGTTACTTTAGACTGCGGGATTTGAACTGCAGTCAGCTGTGTGGGAGTTCAGTGCCTAACTACCCGCTGGCCCTAGGTTATTTGTTTTAATTTTACTTCAGTAATTAAAGAACTAGTAATACAGAAGCAAGGAAAGGTTCAGAACGGAGATTAAAGTAGAACTCTTATTTCATTTGAAATACTTACAATGAGCATTAGAGACCAACACATGGAGGTTAAGGTAGCTGGATCCCACATGGCTCACAATGCGGTTCAAGTCCTGGACCTAGCAGTTTAAAAACACTCTGGACAGGGTGCCAGCAGGTGGTGTAGTGGTTAGGGCACTGGACTACCACAGGGCCCACCACAATTTGAGTGTTGGACCTGGCAGCTTGAAACTTACACTGGATGTGTGTGTGTATCCAAAATCCCAGGAGGAGAACGGAGAAGGGATTGTGGCGTGGCCATCCTCCCCTACCCCCAGGGATTTGATTTCTTACTTTTCCTCTGTCTGGCCAGTATATGCACCCTCTGGCAAAACAAACAAAACTCAGATGTGTGTGCATGTGGGCCCAAAATTCCAAGAGGACAATGGAGGATAAGGGACAGTAGCATGGCCATACCTCCTGGGGGATGATTTCTTACTTTCCCTTGCTCCATATTGCTCTGTTTCTCTGGCAAGCACATGTGCCCTATAACAACAACCTTAAAAAGAATAAAAACAAGACTCGATAACCAACAGCACAGTGGTCAGTTTCTTAGATGTCGAGAAGACCTCTTACTACCCTACTTTTTAAGATTTATTAGGGTCACATGTAAAATGCCCTTATCTCCATGAAACGTGCAGATCCCTAGATCCCAGCTCAGATGTGCCAGAAGCACTAAAGGACCAGCAAGTCTAAAGCAGTGCCTGCTGATCTTCCCTTCTTGTCTTTTACTCTGTCACATCCTGGTTTTATGATCTTCACAGCATTTTCCGCTCTTTAAAACTACTTTGGCTAGCTGTCTATTTACGCGTATATTGACTGTTACTTTAGACTGTAACCTGCAGTTATGTTCCTTCTGTTATTGTAGCTCAAATTTCTTTCTTTCTTTCTTTCTTTTTTTTTTTAATAAAAGGTTTTTGCTTTAGGGTATGTGCACTCGCTGGAGAGACAAAGAGATAGAGACAGTGTGTGTGTGAGGGAGGGTGGCTACACCACAATCTCTTCTTCTCCATTTTCCTCCCAAGATCTTGGGCATATTATTTTCCTTTAGTCTTTTTTTTTTTTTTTTTTTTTTTTTTTGGACGATAGTGCCACATGTTAAAGCAGCTTTAGCTATATTTTATAGATCTAAAATGACATTCTGGGAGAAGCAGTTCTTGAACTCAAGCATAAAGAAGCTATACAAGTGTGACTATATGAATTTTGGCCAAGGTAAAATTGCTTAATCGGGGATAAGGGCTCTCATAACACATGTCTGTGAGAGAATAGAACAGAACACTCTCTGTTTCACTGTCTAATATAGCTGGACAAGTGTCACATACTTATTGCTAGAACTTCATCAATATCTGCATAACTCCTAAGTATTTACATTTATACTGTCACATGGTAAACAAATTTAGTTTTATTTTGAACATATTGGATTTCATGTTATATATATATTTTGTTTTTGAAAGTTTTTTGCTATAGGGTGCATGCTCTCACCAGAAGGAGACAGAAAGCAAGAAATCATCCCCCAGTGGGGATGGCCATGCTGCATTTCCTTCTCCTATATTCTCCTCTTGGGATCTTGGGCATGCACGCACACGTGCCCAGCGTGAGTTTAAGCCACCAAACCATGGTCGACTACATGGGAGTCCAGCGACATAGCCATTATACCAACTGCTGGTCCCTTATATCATATTTAGTAGTTTACCAGATGACTGCTTATAAATCTGATAACATGTATTTTAAAATTATTAGAATCATTCTTTAGTCTTTTTTTAAAGAATTATTTTGATTTTATTTATGATGATTATTATTAGTTTAAATTTACTATAGGACTTGTGCATTAACCAGAGAGAGAAAAAGAGACAGAGAGAGAGAGAAGGGAAGTGGGAAAGCAAGCTGCCAGGTTTGGGACTCGAACTGTGGTCAGCCATGTGGGAGGGAGGCCAGCGCCTCAACCACCATGCCACCTGCTGGCCCCCTCACTTTTTAGTCTTATTTTGGAGGGCATTAGAGTACTTAACTAAAAATGATCCTGTACCTTTATGGGAGTATCCAAGGGAATGAGTTAATATATTGTAATAGTTGAAATTTATTATGGTGATCACTAAAGTTAATATTTAATGATATGCTAAAATATTAATTTTCTAATAAATTATGTACTAAATTATAGCAATTCTCAATAGTATGAATTCATACTACTTTTTTTTTTTTTTTAATTTTGTCTTATGATGCACGTGCTTGCCGAGACAGACAGAGGGAGAGGGTGAGAAAACACCCAGCACAGGGATGGCCATGCTGCAGTCCTTTCTCCTCTAGTCTCCTTGAAATTTGGGGCAGGCCCACACACATGCCCACTGTGATTTTTAAGCTGCTGCATCTGACACTCGAACCACACAGCTGGCCACGTGGGAGCTAGCACCTTAACCTACATGCCACCAGCTAGCCCAAATGTATACCACTTTCTGAGGATGGAAATAAAGTATATATTTAGAGATTTGTTTTTTCTTTAAATAAAGGAAAAAGAACTAAATGGTTGAAAGTCTTCTGTATCCTGATATATTTTAGGTAAATCAGTGTTTTAAAAAAATTGTTGGTTATGGATTTTTGAAAAATTAACATAATCTTTTCTCATTGATATGTATTTTTAAGAACTTTTTGGAGGGTACAATCCTAATTTTAAATAAGTAGTTATTAAGACCTACTTGCTTCCAGTGACTTATCATCCAAAATTAATAAATCTTAATCCTAAACATTTTAAAGGGAAGACACTGGCCACACTTAAAACCTTTAAAATGTTTTTAGATCAAAGGGAAACTTACTTTGCATATAAGATGTTGAAATTTTTTGATAGAGTGCCATTATGTTTACAATTTTATTAGTTACCTATTTCCACATTGGCACTTACAATGCTAGAAGATATTTCTGTATCTATAATATTTAATATTATAGCTTATGAGTAGATTTTTATGTAACTACGTGGTCCTTTGTTTTGTGAATTTTTGCTTGACTACTTATACTTGTTTTATTTTTCAGGCAATAATAAATAGCACCATCACCCCAAACATGACATTTACTAAAACATCTCAGAAGTTTGGCCAGTGGGCCGATAGCCGGGCAAACACTGTTTATGGACTGGGCTTCTCCTCTGAGCATCATCTTTCAAAAGTAAGTTAAATCATAAAAAACAATTGAAAACCTTCATCTTCAAGTCATGTCTTAAGCATACAGTAGTGAGAGGGCAGTATAAAGTATAGGAGAAATTTGCTTAAGATTCTCAGAAGAACTCTAGAGAATTTAGAGCAAGGAGCAAGAGATCATTGGATTACATTGTCACATGGAAAATTTATTGAACACATTAAAAATAATCACCATTGGTTGCGAAGGATTTGTGAGGTTAACTATCTGTATAACAGGAAATGAAAGGTGAGGATTATCACTTCGGAATAAATTTTGCTTAGAGATTAGCACCCTCAGTTGGAGATGGTCTGCAAGATAGGCAGTTGCCAAGCCCTGAATATGAAATTTAAACTGATAGGGATGTAGATTTCAGCTTTTAATATGACAGCAGGCATATACAGATGACCATGATTATGGTAAATTGTATATCTAATGTGGAATGCCGTGAGCTCTCTGGTGTAGTGCAGAGTAATATCTAACAGACACCATAAGGAATTTTTGGATGATACTGGCCAAGAATTACCCGGGCCAGAAAGGCTAACAAAACACTCAGCATTTCCAAGTTAAATGTTGGAAATAAAACAGGTGTTATGCCAAAAGCAAAAGCCGTGCAGTGTTCATATCAACAGTGCCTAATATCTTAGGGATAATACATGGAAAGAGTATATAAAGAAAAAAAAATACAATCTCAAAATACTAAGATGATCAAGGAAATGAGCTTGCTCTTCAGATTTTGTGACTATCAGACCTAAGATTTATGCTTAAAACCTTTGAAGTTTTCAGTAAAAAACATAACCCTACACTTGAAGCACTTTACAAACCATTTAGTTGTATACATAGGATCTGATGGCTTAGACTCTTGTAGATAATGTACTATTCACATTTACATTAAATCCTATTTATTATATACAGATGCTTTGAAATGAATTCTTTTAAAACATCTTATTTGTGAATATTGACTTGAAGTTATAGTTAGATCCATCAGTAGTTGAAATAATCTACTTTGTTTTCTTTAGTTTTAATTTGAAACATTTCTTAACACTTGTTTTTTAGTGTCTTTGTTACCTTTGGATATAAATTGTAGTCTAGAGAGCTCAGTTTTAAAGTTATTTTAATTTTTGCCTTGGTGATTGTAAATCATTCTCTGCAGGATGATTAAAACAAGTGTTATCTGATTTAATTTCTCTTACATGCTTCTTATTCTCTGTATACGTTCCTTGAACTGTGGTTAAGGTCTAAGTTTTAGATTTATAACCTCTCTGCATAACAAAGACACAGTTGAGCATTGCCCTTCCATAAATAATCCCCTTGGGAAATTACATGTGTATCCTAATATTTTTGGCATTACTTAGAATCTTTTTTTTTTAGAGGTTTTTGCTATAGGGCATTTGTACTCACCAGAGAGACAGAGAGAGAGAAAGTGAAAAATCACCCACCGGGGGGATGGCCACACATCTCTTCTCCTCCTTTCTTCACTGCAGATCTTGGGCACACACGCACACACACCTGGCATGAGTTTAAGCCACCAGGTCGAGGACTTGAACTGCGATCGACTACATGGGAGTCTAGTGACATAGCCATTAACTAACTGCTGGTCCCCCCTTAGAACCTTTTTAGAACGTATCTTTTGGAGTTAGCTATTAAAGCCTATAGCAAAAATAATAAAACTATTAAGTATATTCATAATTTTATTATATCATAGTATATTCATAATTTTATTATACTATTAAGTATATTCAGCTTGCTAAATTTCTTGACTTGACAACACAAAACTAAATTGTAGATTGATTCCTTAAATAAACTTGCATGAAATGATATTTGTACCTAAGTAATTCTGACTATAAGTTCTTCATTACATCTTTTAGATTATTGAGCATCTACCTGATGTAGTAAAGGAATAGTTTATTAAATTCTGTCAGTCATATTGCTTTCTCCTATCTGATCTATTCTCTAGAAATGTCTTTTTTTCCTCTCAAGAAAATTTATTTTCCTCTTTAAAGTTATCATGTACTTTGACTAGCCTTACTTTTGATGAATCCTAGTGTGTCGAAGGTAGATCGAATATTAAGAAAAACCCTTACACCATTAGAAACAAGTCTAATTTAATTAATTCATTTGCTGTATCTCTAAGAGCTTAAGATCAGTCCCTTAGAGTGTTTTGATCCAAAGATGAGAAAGTTATGATTTATTTTCCAAGTTACTTTAAGGACTAATTTGGGGGCCAGCTGGTGGTGTGGTGCTTGAGGCAGCTGGATCTCACATAGCCAACCACGAAGTTTGTGTCCCTGACTGCTGGCTTGTAGAACTGGCCAGGTCCTTATGTGCACATGTCTAAAAATCCCAAGAGGAGAATGGAGAAGAAGGGATTGCGGTGTGGCCATCTCCCCAAGGGGTGCTTTCTCATTTTCCCTTTCTCTCACTCTTTCTCTAGCTAGTGCATGCTCCCATAGGGTGGGGGCGACTAATTTGGGTGCTTTGTAAACTGTTTGGGCCCAAATGCGTTTATAATGTTTTACATAAATGAAATAACTATTTAAGTACTCTGGCTTGTTTAATCATTAAAAACCATGAATGAGTCAAAGCATTGTAAGTGTTTGGAGGCGGCATGGAAGGCAGCATGATGGTAAGAAATGCGTGGTCTCCTAGGGTTGACTGATGGGAACGCAATTCCAACTGCACTTGTAGTTTTAGTGTTTACTGAAGTGGTACTTTGTTATCATGGAAACCTAAGCCTTCATGTTTTTCCATTGCTGAAAACAAAGGATATAAAAATTAGCAATAATGTAGGTTTTTATCAAGTTGAGAAAGTTTAAACATTAGCTGTTTTAGAATGCTGAGTCTAAAAATAATCTTGTGCAGTACTTCAAATCACATATAGGGGAGTTAAATTAGGTCTTTGTCTATGTTTTTTATTTCATATTCACCAGTGAGACCTTTTTAGCTTTGTATTCATTATTATTTTTTAAATGTAGAACTATTCTGTTCAATTAGAGGGGTATGATAGGATATATTTAGTTCCACATACCTTTAGTTCCCTGATTTACAAATTTTAGGTGGAGGTGATAGGGTTTAGGTAAGAAGAAAAGGTTGTGGTAATGACAGTTTTGACCCTTCTCAATCTCTCAAATGCAGGTCAAGTATCACAAGTCTTCCCTTCCCAAATTTCCTTTCCCAAGATGGGAATGAAATCATTGTTGGTTTATGGAGATTTGAGATGGGAAGTATTGATACGATTTTATATATTTACTGCCAACTCAACAAATATTTAAGTTACTGAGAGATTTAACATTTTTAAATTTAATGATTTTCTATCCCTAATTTATAATCTCTGATTACAGTGATAGACTAGCTTCCACTTCTAAAACATAAACACCATTTGTGACCATGGCGTTTTATGTACTCTGTGGGTTCCCAAGAATTAGCAGTTCATGGATGGTCATTTTTGTTTTGGAATTCTTACTAATCTTAAAGACCTTTGTGGAGTTTTAAAAATTCCTTTCTGCTTCTGTACATTGGTTGTTTAGAAATCTGAGAAATGAATTTTCAATTATGTCAGTGATAATAGTGTTACTATTTGTATTGTTGAAAATGAAATGCCTTACAAGATATGCAGGACATAAGAATTGGAAAATTATTTGCTGAGAACATGTATGTTGATGTGCTTGATTGAGCCAATGCACAGGGTATTTTGGATGGAAAATTCATTTTTGTGTTGTGATGGTGTATAGTGAATTAATGTAGAAAATGAATAAATTAATAAAATTAAAAAAAACAAAGATAATTGGCAAACTAAAAAAAATGAAATGCCTTATATAATGAGATTTTATATTTTAATAAAAGCTAAAAGCATTTTCTAAATCTGTGATGTTTACAAGGGAATACTTGAGCGATTGCATTTTCTTGGTGATAAACCATAGTCTGCCTCTGTTTACTGATTCCTTAGTTTTAGTAAATTGTTTGTGAACAGCCAAGGAAGCATAGCTGACACTAAATTCTAACTTAATTATATTATGATTTTGAATGAGATTTGTCAAAATATTGTATAGTGTTCAGATGCTTGATATCAGGTTTCTTTTTCTATCATTTCTATATTACAAGTTGTAATTGATTTGGAGGCTATGTTGCTTGTATAAGAATCAGTTATTCAGAAATTGAAAGAAAACTAAGATAAATGTGGGCACCGTGACTTGTTTTTACTTGGTTAACGTATGTAGTCTTTATACATTTAGTTTGCAGAAAAGTTTCAGGAATTTAAAGAAGCCGCTCGACTAGCAAAAGAGAAGTCACAAGAGAAGATGGAACTTACCAGTACACCTTCACAGGTGGGTATTGCATCCCTATTCTTTTTATGCTGTGTTAATTTCAGGTGAAACTCTTTATGCCATAGTTAAATTTGGGAAAATAATGCCAAAATTAATTTCCAAACAGGACACTGAAATTCATTCTTTAATTTGTCCTGGTGGAGAAAGGTTTTTTTCACGTGTCAGTGTCTACAAGAATATTCTTAAAAATTTAATTTAGTGGAACCAGCAGATGGTTTAATGGTTATAGTGCTGGACTCCTATGTAGTTGACTAGTTCAAGTCCTGTACCCAGCAGCTTAAGACTCATGCTGGGTACATGTGCATGCATGCCCATGATCCCAAGAGAAGAATGGAAGAGAAGGGATTGTGGCATGGCCATACCCCCTCGGGGGGTGATTTCTCACTTTCTGTCTCTCTGGCCAGCACACGTGCCATATAGTAAACATCTCTTTTTAAAACAAAACAAAACAAACAAACAAAGACTTCAGTTAGTAATTAAAACTAAGATTATGTATTGTATATCCAATTTAAAATAACATAAGTACATAAAGATCATGATTGACCTATTTCGTGTTCTGTGTTTTTATATGATGGTTAGTCAAATGCGGTCACAAGAAGTGCTAGAGGAGAAGCTTAGGGAGACAAGTTTGTTCTCACGGGTCCTAGAGAGGAAGGAAGCCTCAGGGTGGTCAGGAGATAATAAACAGAAGCCAGGGGAGAGATCAAGTGGATCTTTTTCAGGATTCCCATGGGAAAGGCAAAACAGGCAAGGGGAAACAGTTTAGGAGTAATTTGAATGACTTCAGCAGTCACTAAACTATAGAGGTGGTACAGAAAACAATATAATACGTAAACAGCATGGTTTGTTTTATCTAATTCTGAGGTGTACTTAAATCTGACAGAACATCTTATTTTATACTTGGCACTGAGACATAAAGATTATAAATTTTAGAGGTAGCACTTTCTCCTTTAGCAAGCAGCTTACTTGTCCATCATGATCTTTCTTCAGTAGAGAAGTATGTCTCCAAGTAGAGTTTATTAAATAGTTATGTTTCAGTCCTTTTGCAAAGACTCTAATGTATGATTCATATATTATAGAATGCAAGTTATTTTTAATTTTTCAACAGTAGGCTTTCCGGGGCCAGCAGGTGGTGTAGTGATTAAGGTGCTGAACTCCCACATGGTTGACTGCGGTTTGAGTTCTGGAGCAGTGGGTTGAAACTCTTACAGGGCACATGTGGGTGTGTGCCCAGAATCTTAAGAGGAGAATGGAGGAAAAGGGACTGCAACATGGCCGTTCCCCTGGGGTGGGATTTCTCACTTTCTCTTTCTCCCTATCTCTCTGGCAAGTGCACACACCCTATGGCGAAAACCTCTCTTAAAAGAAAACACAAGGAGGCTGGCAGGTGGTAAGGTGGTTGAGACACTGGACTCCATATGTTTGAGTCCCAAACCTGGTAGCTTACTTTCACACTTTCCCTCTCTCTGATCAAATTAAAAAAATAAATAAGTTCTTTAAAAAAAACAGGCTTTTCTAAAATTAATTCTTTTCAGTTGTTGTCTTAATAGTAGGATTCAGATTGTGCTGTGTCCTTTGTAGTAATTTTTCTGAAGTATACTCCATAGCTTTTATGAAAAATTAAAATGAGATGTTATAGATGTTTTTCTGGAATAATATCAGTAGTAGCCGATAGATATGGAACTTTCTGGAAGAAGTGGATAGAAATTGCCTTGGAATGTCATGAGTAACAAAGTGATTGAAATAGTTTAGAAAATTATTTGCGCTTCAGCTCTCTTCCTACCCCTGGCACCACTCTGTTTGGTAAACCCCACTGGTACAGAGTTGATTTTTTTTCTCTGCACAGGATAGAGAGCTCTTCAGTGTGCTTCAAGTATGTATTTCCTCACAGGCTAAAGTGTACTCTGGCTCCAAGCCAAAGTTCCATTAACCTCCGTACTGGCAATGACCTAGAATAACTTGGGGGATCATTTTGAAACTTCTCTCGAATCTGTTTTCTCTGAATGCTGTGATAGTGTAGCGATACTTTAAGCATGAAAGCCCATTTGAAATGTAGTACCAGTGTGTGTGGGGGGTGGGGGGGTGGGGGAAGGCTCCAGTTCCTCAGGTGATGACCCTAGTGTGAGAAGGAGCTGCAACACCAGCACATTCAGGGAGAGAATAGTCATCGGATTTCAGTGATACTCCACTGGATTAAGCTTCACTGCTGTGCCTAGTTTCCATGATCTAATCATGACTTATGCTTTTGTTCAATTGGTCATGAGCTATTACAAGATGCTGCCAAGACACCTGCTCCTCTTTGGTGGGTGGAAAGTCATCAGTTCTTTACTTTCATCAAAGAACTTTATCAAATATGCTTAAATTTGGAAAATCATGTGAAATAAAAGACATATCTTAAGCTCTTCTGTATTTGAGTTTGAATATACAGATCTTAGTTTATTTTTTTCAGAATATTTGAAGCCTGATTATTAATGTATAGAAAATAGTAAGTTAGTAAATAAATAAAGGTATTTCTTTCATTTCTGACCCCCACTTTTTTTTTACAGTCCTTGTTTCTGTTACAGTTTGAATCGTATTACCATTAGTCACTCCTATTATTCCTCCTTCCTAAAACACAGAGCTTGAGTTTTCCTTGACTTTACCTAATCTGTTGAATTAATGCTTTGCCTGAAGAATAAACTATTATTTAGGGAAGGCTAAGTAGATAAACAATAATAGGTTAAATGGGATAATCAATGGTAGTAGACCCTTAGTTGTTCATAGCTGTTGTTTTTATTTCGAGACGTATAACAGACTGGTTAAGACTTGGTTTGCGAATCAGACAAACTTAAATCCCGTTTCTGTCACTCTGTGATCTTGGGAAGGTCGTTTATACCATACATCACTTATCTTACAGGATTGTTGAGAGGAGTAAGTATGATAATGTCAGCTCATGGTTAATAAAGTGAGCTCAAGAGCCTGGCTTTGAATCTGGGTTTGGGCTCGAACCCTTACTAGTTTTTAAACTTAGACAAATGATTGTTTTCTTTATCTGTAAAACAGAATAGCAAGAATATGTCTTTAAAAAAAAAGAAAAGCTTTGCTATGTGATATGCGCACTTGCCAGAGAGAGACAGAGTGGGGAATGAGAAAGCACCCCCTGCCCCAGGCAATGGCCATGCTGCAATCCCTTCTCCTCCATTCTCTTTGTGGATTTTTGGCATGCATGCACACATGCCTAACATATTTTTAAGCTGCCAGGCCTGGGACTCAAACCTTGCAGTTGGCCATGTGGGATCTACCTACCTTAACCGCCATGCCACCAGCTGGCCTATGTTACATATATTATTTTAAGGTTACTTTGAGTACTAAAGAAGGGTTAGAAAGTGCTTAGCATCTAATAAAAACTCAACAACTGTTAACAATTGCTATAGGTGATGTGGCTATAACAGTGAGAAAGATGTAAAGCCTTAACATAGTATCTGGCACATAACAACTGTAGAAAAATAGATTCCTTAACCGTATAAATTCTGTATCACAGTTTTTTGGAAGACTTGTTAAAACACAGATAACTGAGTCCCACCCCCAGGGTTTCTGATTTAGTAGGTCTACACTGGGGACCCTGAGTATTCACATTCCTAATAGGTTTCTAGGAGACGGCCATGCTGGTCTGGAGATGACGCTGAGAGCAGCAGTTCTGTAGGCATTCCCCGTTCCTGAAGACTTGTTATAAAAGACATTCCAGAGCAAAGTTAGCCACTTCTGACACAAACCCAGAATCTCCTTCTGTGGGTCACCCTCACAGAGCATTGTGTTTGGTGCTGTGCCGCTGTCTGGCCCCTTCATCTTTCTCTATGGACTCTTCTGGTCTCTTTCGTAGCATTTCTTTCTATTTCCACTGCCATAAAAACTCAAAATCATCAACTCCTTTCTCAGTTTTTCTCATCAAACCTCTGTTCAGAAAGGAGAGGTGGTTTCATTGTCAGTTATGTATTAAAGACTGGAAGGGAACAGATCTTCCACAAATGTGTGTTAAATGATAAAATGTTTTGCTTAACCAAAAAGGATGTGACTATAATTGGAATGTCAATTTCAGACTTTGCTGGACCAAAGTGGAGGTGGTGGTGGTATCCGGTCTAGTGGGGAAGGGCAATGTCACCACACAGCCCTGCACCCCACCCTCTACTGCTGAGTAGGTGGGGACCCCATCCTGAAGTGAGGGCTAAGGTGATTTATTAGGTCATTGGAAAGGTTATGACATGTTTTTCTATACAAAAATGCCTCATGGCTTTTCTGATGACCCTCTATTTTTTCATGGGTTTCAGAATATTACTAGTTTTTTTGGCTTTGTTGTCATTTCGTAAGGGGAGACATAAACACACACACACATATACACAAGAGGGTCTTCACAAAGTTCACGGAAAATGTGTATTATGAAAAAACTTTGTACAGATTTCAATCTTTTTTTGCACCAAAATAAATTCACTTTAATTCATTTTCCTTGAACTTTTTAAAGTCATCTTGTACACATACACATACTTAGGTCAAAGAATGTATTATTTGATGTTTCATTTACTATATAACAGCTAGAAGTTTGTAGTCTCATGAATATACCCCCAAGTTGTTTTGTTTGTTTTTATTTTTGGAGAGAGATTTTTGCTATAAGGTATGTGCCCTCTCCAGAGAGACAGAGACTGAAAGCAAGAAATCATCTCCCAGGGGGGATGGACACACCACAATTCCTCTCCATTCTCCTCTCAGGATCTTTGGCATACATGCACATGCACCTGGCATGGAGGTTTAAAAGATCAGGTCCAACACTCAAACCACAGTCAACTGCATGGGAGTCCAGTGCACCATCTGCTGGTTCCTAAGTTTTTAATTTTAATATTTGATTTGAAGGTATAAAATTTTAATTTTGTATAGATAAGTTTTATTTAAAGAATAAAGCTTAATGTGTAGAAAACAACATACAATTTAGATTTTAAAAGAACTAGGTGTTTAGACTATGTTAGAGTTCAGAGTGTGTTCTTTTAACATATGTAACATTTCTGAAGGTTTTATAGAATTATTTTGGCTACTTGTGGGATAGTTGGGAGGAAAGGGGTTTCAGTTTCCTTCTATGCATTTTGATATTCTTGGAGCTTTTTCTTATTCTCAAATATTAATTTTATTTTTTAAAAAGCATGCTTTGGGGGACCAGCCGTTGGAATAATGGCTATGTTGCTGGAGTCCCATGTAGTCGACCACGGTTCGAATCCTGGACCTGGTGACTTAAAACTCACACCGTGTGCATGTGTGCCCAAGATCCCGAGAGGAGAACGGAGGAGAAGGGATTGTGGCATGGCCATCCCCCTGGGGGGTGATTTCTCACTTTCTGTCTCTCCGTCTCTGTCTTTCTGGCGAGTGCACGTGCCCTATAGCAAAAACCTCTCCAAAAAGAAAAAAAAAAGCTTGTTTTGCGGTCCCCATATCGTTATAGTTAAGTACTATGCATTGGGAAATGGATCCTACAGGGCCAACTGCAGTATGAATCCTGTCCCCAGTGGCATGAGAAACACGCTGGGCACATGTGTATGCATGCCCTAAATTCTAACAAGATAGAAATGGCGGGGGTGGGGGGTAGGGGGGAGGATTGCAGTGTGACCACACACCACTGGGGGTGCTTTCTGTCTGATGAGTGTACACACTTTCTGGGAATTATAAAACAACAACAAAAAGATAAAAATTCATGCTTTGGGTGGGCTTTTTTGATTTTTGTTTTAGATATATCTAGGATAACTAAATATATGTTTAGTTAAATATAGCTAATATTTGGGGCTGGCAGGTGGCATGGTGGTTAAGGTGCTGGACTCTCACATGGCCAATTACAGTTTGAGTCCCAGACCAGGCGGCTTTCTCTTGCTCTCTCCCCAAATTCAAGAAATAATAATAATAAATAAAAATTTAAAAATATATAGCTAGTATTCTTGTTTTCTAAAGAAAAGCTTGCTGCATTGAGATGTTATAGTTGTTGCCACCTTTACCCCACCCCTTTCTTCCTCTCCTTTTTCTCCTGTTTAATTTGCCTTTGAGAATAGTTTTTCTACTTCAGTCACATCAACATTTGTAGACTCCTCAAGTTCCGTGCCTCGAAATGCTCCCCCTTAGACTCTAAAGTGAAATGAGCAGTATATCCTGGAAGGAAATAAGAACCAGGAGTCAAACTGCTACTCCTCTCTCGCTTAGCACTGTCTTTGTTAATGATAGGAGCATGCCCACAAGGTAGGGGGAGAGAAAAACGAAGAGAGGAAGCACCTTCAACAAGATCTCATCATACTGTGATGTCTCTTTCCCAGCCCTCTAGCTCCTCAAGGTCCTAGATGCCCATGTGCATGCCTGACATGTTTTTAGATCTGCCAAGGGATCCGAACCATGGTTGGCCGTAATGGCCTCCAGCCCTGCAGGGCACTGCATTACAACTGTGCCACAGTGGCCCGACCTTTCTTTCCCCTTGTTTCTTCTAACCTGCTTGTGCCTCCACACTCTTGTTGATTGATGCCAGCAAATCCCTAAATTAATCCTTAGTTATTTACTCTTTCAGTTTGACAAGGTAATTTGTTTCTGTTTTCCTTTCTACTGAGCCACATCTTGAACATTTTATAAAAGCTGTTAAGTAGATTAGACAGTCAGCTTTTATTATTTTAGCTTGGTTTGGCCTGCCTTTGAGAAAAATAGGCCTAACTTATTAATACCAAAGATGGTTTTTTTACTGGCTGCTTAAGCTTTTTCTGGCTAGTTAATATGGCCGTAACTGATCTAGAAATAGTCACTTTGAGTAAATTGTTTCATTATCCATTTAGTAGGAGCTGACTTTGTTGTAAAACAGTTTTATAGTGTCACATTATACTTAGACTTTACTCCTTTGTTAGCTATCGTTTAAGAAAATATAGGAGAAATACTTAATAAGAATGAAATTAAAGGTCAAAATTAAGGTTGAAAAATGATGGGGCTACCAGGTGGAGGTTGAGGTGCTGGGCTCCCCCATAGCTGACCATGGTTTGAGTCTTGGACCTGGCATCTTGTTTTCTCACTTTCCCTCTTTCTATCTATCTTGCTCTGGTCAAATTAAAAAAATAATAATAAATAAAATTAAATAAATAACTCTTTTTAAAAAGAAAAATTGTTGTGATATTGATAATTAAGACAATATCCTTTTGCTAGCTTGTATGATTTTATGACGTTATGTACTATTAGTTAAAATACTTAAATGTGAAATACATATAGCAGTATACAGTCTCACCATATTTCCATTTTCTGTATTGTTTCAAGTACTTCATGAACAACATTTTTAATATAAGGTGTATATATTATCATAACCTAGCTACTGCTTTATACTCACATTTTCTTTTTCCAATTATAAACATTTTCCAGTATTGCTCATATTCAACTTATTTTTATTTGAGGAAATCTTGTATTCTTTCAGGTCGATAAATTACAGTCATATTAACCACTCCATTCTTGGACACATGTTTTCATTTTCTTCCTTAACATAGATTAACATTTCATTGTGAAGTTTTATTGCCCAAGAATCATAAGGGGTTCACAGGCTTCTCTTTAACAGTCTGTTGGTATGTCCTTCCTTAGCTAACTGGTTTATCAAATAACAACTTACCTGATTTCTAATAAAAAAATACTTGGGTAATTGATAATGACAGACACAAGAGTAAGTGTCAGCTTGAGCTTCATTTTAAATTCTACTTCATTTCCAAAGGGTTAAATTAATTTTATTTTGATAGGCAAATCTTAACTAAAAGTAGAAATAAGACAGGAAATTTTATGACGAAAAAGAATTCCATTATTAGACCAAAAAAGCTGAAATTCACTAACAATGATTATGTATAGTATGTTATAGAGATATTTCCAGATGCTTTTCTGAATAACTCAATGGGAATTGAAAAGTAGGACAGGTAAAAAAATGAAAACTTGCAGATTTCATTCCACCTTTACCCTTTTCCCTTCCCCTTCCCATGACCCCTTCCTGTGATCTTTCTTTCTAGATAAAATCGTATGCTCTTGAATTTCTGTATTATCTTCTTTTTCTTAAGTAATTCTTTAAATATACTTTACTTTGACAAATTACTTATTTATATAAACTCAAAAGCTTTTCAGTTCATTGAAACTACATTTCTAAATTGTTATATTTATGTTTCTAAATTGTATTAGGTTTGAGGATATTTTCTTCTGAGTTACTTTGCTTCAAAAATTATTTCTCTTTCAAATTTTACTTTTTAAGTGCTTTACTCACATTTTAATAGAAATCTAGCTCATAATTAAGCGTGTATCAGAGTCCATTTTAACTGTTAAGATGATATTGTGTACTTTAGCAAAAATGTAACTCCTTTTTTTTTATCATCCATCCCTTTTTTTAAGGAATCAGCAGGCGGGGATCTTCAGTCTCCTTTAACACCAGAAAGTATCAATGGGACAGATGATGAAAGAACACCTGATGTGACACAGAACTCAGAACCAAGGGCCGAACCAACTCAGAATGCATTGCCATTTTCACATAGGTACAGATTCAATTCAACAATCATGATTAAGTAAAATGTATAAATATGGACATTTATTTGGTTTCAGGAACTCTTGCAGTTATGAACTTTGAATGAAATTCAAGGTCAGACCTCATTTTGTTTGTTGTGTTTTATTTTGGGGTAACTTTTAGCATGAGCCGATTAATGTTAATGGCAGATATATTTTTGCACAGAAACTAATAAGAGATATAGTTTTATTTGCCTTTTGAATTTTTTAATAATTCAATATTCTAAAAAAATAGTTTATCCTAAATGTGTTCTAAACCAGTTATATTAGTTGGCCATACAGTGGCATATTTAGGATGTAAAGAGGAAATTTTACAGAAAATTGCAGTGTTACAAATATAAAATAAATGTCAGTTAATTATCTATTTCCAAGTTAATTTTAATTCTTCTTTGGAAACTTTTCACTATATAGTTTTAGTTAAAATCAAGGGAACAATTTTCCTCTATTGTGTATTTCTTTGGTGGACTGATTTTTAAAAAATCAAATTCTTTGGCATATTAAGAATTGTGAAATGATATTCCAAACTTTTCTTCATGAGAATTTTTATTTTGATTGAAATTTGTTGGACATTAGGGGATGGGATTAGAGGCTAACACTGAGGTACTTCATGGTCAAACCAAAGAAAAAGAAAAAAAAAATTTAAGGTATTTTGTTTGATTTTTGTTTTTTGTATTTATGATATTTGTGCAGCACAATGTGATTTTTCAGTACAAGAATGCAATGTCAAGAATAAATCAGGGGGATTAGTATATCCATCATCTCAACTATTTGTCATACTTTGTGTGGGAAACATTCAGAATCCTCTTTTCTTTTTTTATGCTATTCTGAAATATACAGTAAATTTACTATTGTTAGCTGTACTTACCTGTCTGTAATTGTGTTTCCATTAACCATCATCTCCCAAGCCCCTTTCCCCACTATACTTCACAGCCTCTATTACTCATTCTTTACCTCTCTTTGCATATGAGGTCAGCCTTTCTAATGTCTACATATGAATGAGAGCGTGAGGTGTTCTCTTTATGTGCCTTGTTTATTTCACTTTCCATAATGTGTTCCTGGTTTGCCATGTTACCTCAGATGTCAGGATTTCATCCTTTTTAGTGACTGAATAGTATTCCTCTGTGCGTATTTATCACATTTTCTTTATCCGTTTGTGTTGTGATTGATACTCAGATCAAGTCTATATCTGGGCTGTTGTGAATTGTGCTGCAATAAACCATGAGGTATAGATAACTTTACAACATACTGATTTCTTTTTCGGTGGATAAATGCCTAGTAATGGTATTGCTAGATCATATGGCAGTTCTGTTTCTGGGTTTTTTTGAGGAGCTCCCATACATTTTTCTATAATAGCTCTACTAATCGACATTTCCACCAACAGTGTAGAAGAGTTCAACTTTAGGAATGTTTTTAGTAATGAATAGGGATGGGTAGTCAAAACTATTTGATGATGGGACTAGTCTAAGTTATTCCTAAAAATTCTAACAATTTAGCATAAAATAGTAGACATATTTTGGCGTCACCATGGATTTCATGCTGTAACCATTGCAATGTAGGCATATTTTCTTTTTATAGTTATAAAGATGACTGAACACATAAACATTTTTAGTTCCTGCAATCTGACAAATGTATGTTCACATTGATTTATAAAACACAGTCTTTAAATATATAATTATAATAAAAGAATGATGTTATTATGCAGATTTTAAAATTCTTTACTTATGTTGATGGAAGGAAAAAATTTCCTTCCTATTAAGTGATATTTAACATATCCATTTAATAAATAGACTTTAATAATTATATACTTGATTTTTTTTTTTTTTTTTTTGGACTAACAAATTGAGCCATCTGCATTGAATACTGTAGTGTTTGGAAATCAGAACTTTTATGTTTATCATTTATAAGAACTATTTTTGATTTACTTCATGCATCTCAAATCTTCTAAATGTTTACTGTTTTTATATTCCTTACTATTTGGAGGTACCACCTGGTATGTTCACATTGATTTATAAAACACAGTCTTTAAATATATAATTATAATAAAAGAATGATGTTATTATGCAGATTTTAAAATTCTTTACTTATGTTGATGGAAGGAAAAAATTTCCTTCCTATTAAGTGATATTTAACATATCCATTTAATAAATAGACTTTAATAATTATATACTTGATTTTTTTTTTTTTTTTTTGGACTAACAAATTGAGCCATCTGCATTGAATACTGTAGTGTTTGGAAATCAGAACTTTTATGTTTATCATTTATAAGAACTATTTTTGATTTACTTCATGCATCTCAAATCTTCTAAATGTTTACTGTTTTTATATTCCTTACTATTTGGAGGTACCACCTGGAATTAGTCTTCTTTTATTTATTTTTCTCTATTCTTGGGAGTCCAGTAGGAATTTCTTTGACCTAAAGATAAAACTTCTTTGACTACTGGAATTTATAGATTTATAGATTAGCTGTGGAGATATTTGATAGTTCTGAATATAAAATTGAGCAGGTCAATTTAAGCTTTCATGTTATGTTAAGGGCATGTATAATCTCAGAAGTTTTCTTTCATATTATTTTTTAAATACTTAACTGTAAGATTTTAGAAGATTTATTTTCCAAACTTGTTTTGATTTTATGGTAGTCCATATTAATGTTAAACTAATTATTTTTACTGAAATGAAGATTTTCACCTGAGGTAGAAAGTTGAGTATTTTATAGCTAATATTAGAATCCTAGAATATCCTAGGTAGAAGAGACCTCAGAGATGGTATAATCCATAATTTTCCAAACTGTGATAGTTTGAAATCATCTTAATAGTTTATTGGTGGCATAATGAACAATGAAATATAATAAAACTAAAGAGAAAACATCAGAATAAAACCCATGTTAATAGTAGAAACTGTTTCAGTTGTGTACATATATGTGTATGTTCTGGGTTACAGTGAACAAATATCAAAGTTAGTAAACATTTACCTTTGACATATGAGGGCACTAAATACTAGTGTTAGGCGAGTTGTCCTAGATCACATTGTTCCTTAGTAACAACTTTGAGACCATTAACTTAGTTCTTCCGATACTAGTGTGTATTGTCAATTAACAGTAAATTTTAATCACATACCCAATACAAGTACATTGCTGTTACCATGAAGTTAATAACTCTCTTCCTAACTCAGAAGACTAATAGGGAAATAAGATCAGTTTCATAAAGTAGTGACAGAAAGAATATTAAAATAAATTTTATTTAAATCTACAACTTGTAAGTTTAAACCTACCATCTTGTTTTAACAGAAAATAAATAGCAAAAAAAAAAAGTTTGCCAGTATTTCTCTGCTCTGGTTGATGTCTCTGCTAAATAAGGAGCAGAATTACTAGAATGTCTATGTTAAAAAAAAAAAAATAGGATATAGAAAACTGTGAGCTAGGGCCGTGTGGTGTGTTGGATGTGGCCAATTGTAGGATTTGAGTCCCAGAAGAGCGTGTGTGTGCCCAAAATCCTGAAAGGAGGGAGAAATGGAGAAGAGATTGTGGCATGAGCATCTCCTGTGGAGGTGGAAGTACTTTCTTGTTTTCCTTCTCTTTATTTTTCCTCAGTGAATGTATGTGTCATCTGGCAAAGTCAAAAATAGAAAAAGAAAAGAACAGATATCTAGTCAGTCATGTTAATGAGGAGTTGACAGTAGGGATGGCACCTTAGCTAAGTGGTTAAGGGGACCAGATCCCACATGGCCAACTACAGAGTTCAAGGACAGGACCTGGAAGTTTGAAATATAGAGTTGGCTGTAGTAATAAGTTACTTAACAATCCAATTTGTGCTCTTCTGAAAAATTCAGATTTTATGACTAAGTCTCATGAATTTTTGACAACATATCAAAAGAAGGCCCGAGTTTTCATTTAACCCTGAAAATTTTAGCAATGTCATTACAGTTTATTCTTTATGAGTTTTTATTATTTTTTATTTTACCTTTTTTATTTTAAACAAGTTATTGTTGGAGCCAGCAGGTGGCATAATGGTTAAGGATGCTGGACTTGCACATGACTGACTGCAGTTCTAATCCAGACCTGGCAGCTTGAAACTCATTTTGAGTGTGTATGCATGCATGCCCCAAATCCTGAGAGGAGAATGGAGAAGAAGGGATTATGTGTGGCCATACCCCTGGGTAGTGATTTCATGCTTTCTTTCTGTTTCTCTGGCAAGCGCACATGCCCTATAGCAAAACTCTCTCAGGAAAAAAGTTATTACTTAGCTTTAGAGAAATGGCCAAGATTTTTTATTACTTTTAAATTTTAGTATAACTATTTAAAAAAATTTTAAAATATATATGGCAGAGAGAATACTGTAATGAACCTTTATGAACATATTTACCCAGCTTTATCAGTCTTGTTTTATTAATACTTTCACTCAGTTCTCTACCATTGTATTATTTTTAAAGCAAATCCCCGACTTATTTCATCACATTATCCTTTTTCAAATCAGTTTTGAACTTAAAAAAATTATTTGCTAAGCTTTTACAATTTTTTATATTATATCTGATTCAGTGGCATTATGGATTTCCTTACTACATCTTTGATTTTTAAAATTATATCGATAAACTACATTTTAACTATGTAGGCTGCTCAATGCTCATTAGCTCAAATGCTATAGTACTGTTTCATGTCTTTGTCATACACTATGCAAAAATATTCTGATTGAATAAGTTTCATTGAATTAATACTTTTGTAGTAGACTTATTTAAATGCTTTAAAAAGATTAGAGATATATACAGTAGGGAGCTTATGAGGATGAAATGTTTACTAATTTCCTCAGGGAAATTTTATTAAATTTTATTTATATTGCTACTTCTTTCTAAAAAGATTTTTTTAAAACCTAAAGAGAATATCCTCTGACCCACTGAAGTCTTCAGGGCATCTTTGAGACTGTAGTCTCAGCTTAGGTGTAGGATAAGTAAAGCAGGTACATACTAATAGACTAGCATGTAC